TTTATGCATTGCTCCATGCTTGTTGTTGACTATTAGTCTTAGAGGATTTTCTTCCTTGTGTATCTTCGGTTGTCCGTATGCCGTCGGTGGTCATGCGTCATTTTTGATTAAAGATTTAATCATCCATTTGTCAATTAACCCATTATTATGCATTTCCTTGAGCATATTCTTCAGTGTACTGTTCAGCTTCGTGTTTGCATCCTTCCTTAGTATTTGATAAGTATTCAGGTTGGCAAGGAAACTTTCCATTTTCTCCGTGTATTGTTTTCTGTCCATTACAACAGTCGCTCCTCCCTTATTCGCCTTAAGAACTATATGATCATTCTTTTGTATTTTTTTCGTATACCAGCCAATTCGCTCCTGTGTATCGGTTCTTGACTTGTCAAGATTCGTGGGATTATTTCCAGTTCCATCTCTCGTCTTGTATCTTCTGGATATTTATCCGTTATTTTGACAACTTTCATCAGAATATGACCAATAACGTTACCTTCATTACCTAGTGAAAAATGTAACCCCTTCTTTAAGAGATCTATAGTTTCAGAATCCAGAGGGATTGAACAAAGGTTTACCACCTTAGTCCTATCGTCGTCTGTAGCAGTTGATGGCTTCAATAAAGAATCATCAAAATTTGCCCGGGTTGGCTTGGTCTTGCTCTGTTTTATTATTCCATAGCTAAGCAATTTCCTGTCATGCCGCTTATTTATCAGATCCTGGACCCTTTGTGAATTTGGTCCGTCATGCTCTGTAGTTTTTGAAAATCATCCAAAGGGAGAACTATACTTAGATCTTTCCTTAATCTAGTCTTGAGATCTATGAACTTAAATAGTTTACGCCCCTCAGTCTCGTAACTTTCCTCTAATTTCTGGAAAGAGGCGTGATAAAGCATTTCATTACCTGTATCCGAATGACACTTCCTCATTAGATTGCAGAAACGGGGAACGACTCCATAATGTTTGCAACAATTCAAAAAGGCCAAATGGCAGGATTGACTTACAATTGTCTTTTTTGGCCGGCTGTAATTAGTGCATTGTTTGACAATCTTACTTCCATAGTTTATTTGAAGGTTTGAAGTCCAGGATGGTGTGGCCTTTTGTGTGGTTGCAGTCTCCTTTCGTTGTCTAGAAGTTGTTTGACCTTGTTTTCGTAACTTGGTCATATTGGTAGGTAGACTTAGAGGAATGCACCTAGTCCGGAGTCCATTGTATGAATGATCATTTCCAAAGTCGGACTGTGGACGTGGACGTCGCATAATTACTGTTGGCTGCTGGGCTGACATTTTGAAATTCTCCTCAAACAGCACTCTCCACCAGCTTGCCTAACCAATATGAAGAAATAAACAATATATATTTTTCCGGAGTTTGCAGCATAAACTGCAAGGACTGTGAACAAAAATACATCGGAGAGACGGGAACGACAATCAGCCCAAGGATTAAAGAATACCAATGAGATGGTAGTCTCGAAACCCTACTTTCTTACGAATAAAGAATACCAGTTGTCATGACGAAAAATGGATACAGAAAGAACGGAGGTAGCTGAACACATCGCCATTACCAGCCACACAAATGATTAGAAGACAACGGAAAGACTGGCTTCATATGGGGCAAACACAAGGAAAAGGAAGATCAGGGAGGCCATGGACATCCTCTTTCAAAGAAACATGATAAACACGATGAAAGGGGTAGAGTCAGCGGTGCATTCGTGTACTGCCTGAATAGACTTAGATATTCAAAAAATACATCGAAAAGAAGACGTTTGGATCGTATTTTTTTTAGTTCACAGGAAGGTAGACATATCCACTTATGTGCATCTTGTTTAACAGCAGGAAGGGCCATCACCAAGGGGCGGCTCATGAGGAACAAAGCGAAGTCAAGAAAAGGATATAAAGACCAAGATCTTGTGGCCTCTGGTATGGTCGCAGTCTCCTTCGATTTATATGAGTGGGTTGACCTCTTTGTCGCAACTTGATCTTGTTTTCAGGGAGACTATGTGGAACGCACCTAGTCCGAAGTCGTCTGCCATAGTAGTTGTCATAATTCCCAGCATCTGACCGTGGACTTGA